ATGGCTGCTCTCCAGCAGAAGTGCGTTGCTCTCGCCGCGGACCTCGCCGCCGCCCAAGCTCGCCAAGGTCCTCTACTCCAGCGCCTCCACAGCGCCGGGCGAGCCTTCGCCGAGCTGCTCACGCCCTCGCCCGATGGTGCCGTGCCGTCACTCACATCCAAGCTATGCTGTCATCGTTCCGCGGCGCTCCACCTGGTGCCCCGCGCTAATCTCCTCCTCTCTGCCTGCCCGTGTGTACGCGTGGCTCCGCGTCCACGGTGTCAGGGCGTGGGGGCGGGGGGTGCCCCGTCACTGCGCGCCGCTTGCGGCCAAGCGCCCAACTGGCGGTCTGCCAAGCCGCCTAGCCACGTGTCAGCACGTCGCCTTTCTTGTTGGGGCCTCTTTCTTTACGCGGTCTGACAGGTGAGATCATCACCGTCTGTCCGCCGTCTGTAGCGTCTGTCGCACTGCGCCGGGGGAGGGTTTTTTTTGTTGCCCGCCCTCGTATCTAAGGCTGCACCGCCGCAAATAGTGTTTAGCGAGTTGTCGCACCGCAGTGCGCCTCGCGGACGGACCAGGTTTCCGCCTACTGTCCGCTCTCCCTCTTCTCTCTTCTCTCGCTCTCCTCTCTCTCTCTCTCTCTCCTCTCTCTTCTCCTCTCTCTTTCCTGGCCCGATCCGACCCAGCGCCGCGGCTGCGGCAGGCGGCGGGGCCAGGCGCCCCGGCTAGCCCTCAGCGCGTCTCTGCGCGAGCCCCGTTTGGCGCGCCGCTTTCGTCCTTTCTCCCCCTTTTTCGCTTTTGGGATTAGACCGCCCTGAGGTTCATCTGTGGCGTTATTTCCTCCTCGTCCTCCCCCCCCCCCCCCCATCTCCATTCCTCGCCATCCTAGATAACTCCCCCCGTCGCGCCCCGCGGCCGGTCGAAGGCCGGCCCGACGTTTCGCATGAGACGCCCTCGCATTTTCTTTAATATTGCGCAAGAAATTCACGGGTCGTGGGCGAGTCGCTTTCAACGCGCGGTTTCCGCCTTAGCGCCGCGCGCGCTCGTTTAAACGCGTTGCGCGAGACTCACGGATTGGAGGCGGTCGTCTTCGACGCGCAGTTCGCCTCGGCGTTGCGCGCGTTCTTTTTAAACGTTTCCGCGAGCTTCACTGATTGAGGGCGGCCCCTCCTTCAAAATTACATTGTCGCCTTGGCGTCGCCCGCGTTCATTGCAGACCATCGCAAGGCTCTCATCGGTTCCCCACAGCCGTTTGGGCCCAAGGCAAGACTTGGCTCAAGCAGAGGTCACGCAGTGACGGGTGCCGCGCACTTTCCCCCGATCCTTTACCTCGCCCATCTCGTGCGCAGTTGCTCCTGACTCAGTTGCGCATGTATCGTGTCTTTATTGTTGCTCTTCGCCCGCGCCCAAGGAATGCCGGGCGGGCGACGGCCCCAGTGGCGATGCTGAGTTGGAGGAGGAAGGCCCAAACAAGGTAACCATGCGGAACGTCCAGAAATTGTTGCAGGCAGAGTTGAAGCCGGCGAATGCGTCAGTCGAACGGTAGCCGCCGGGGGATTTGGCCACATTCAAGCGGGAAGCACGCAGGGAGCTGGAAGACATGGGATTGCGGCTGACAGGAGCGGAGGAGAAGCAGGGGCCCCCCCAGAGCGAGCGCGCCGTTATCTCAAGGGGAACCTGGGCAGCACCCTGGCCGACGCCAGCGCAGCAGCGCAGCAGGCTATAGCAGGCTTCGAGCGAAAACCTCACCGCGGCCATTGGCAACGCCCCCCAACGCGGACACCCTCGACGCGGTCAAGGATTGGATCTACAAGCGCTGACGCCAGCGCCCCTGCGCCCGCGGACCCATTCGTCAAGGGGGGCGAGTTCAAGAACGTTGTTTTTGTCACGTGCCCCTTCGCTGCATACCAGGATCCGCCATTTCTGTCGTTCGTCAGTTTCCGCGGGGAGTTTCAGGACAGCCGCGGGCAGCGCTCGATTTGCCCCTGGGCTGCATACCAGGATCCGCCATTTCTGTCGTTCGTCAGTTTCCGCGGGGAGTTTCAGGACAGCCGCGGGCAGCGCTCGATTTGCCCCTGGGCCTTCGCGCGGCAGGGTCAGCCCTCTTTGCCTTCAAACGCATGCTGCTTCAGTGGGGCCACGGCAGGAGGGAGGTCGAGGTCGACGCCGGGCGCCGCGCGCTCAGGGTGGCAGGCGAAGACATCGCCACGGTGGCGGCCCACGACTACACGCCGCAGCAGAAGTGGCACAGCGGCGACGGGGGGGGGCGGGGGGATCTCCAGCACTCCTTGGAGTTCGCCACCCCGACGTCGAATCTTCAATCTTGGTTCGGCAGGGCCAAAAAGTAGTTCCACGGCCCTGGCAAGGGGAAGCGGCAGGGGCGACGCAGCCAAGTGGAACGCAGGGCAGCCCATGGATAATTCAATTGTTTCGCCCATCGGCGAGTACATCAACGCATGCAGCTGGGACGTCGCGGGATTCGCAGACGTCAAAATTGAACAAATTAGAATTCATGTGGGCGTCATTAGTTCGGTTGACGCGGCAACTCTTCGAAAGAGCAAGGGGGGCAAACACGACGACTTAATGACGGGGTCCGAGACGTGATCTGCCCGGCCCCGGCGCAGACGGCCCAGAACGGACAGGCTCGGGCTTCGCGGTCTCCGCGCGTATCCGGCGGTTCGCTTTGAATTTCCAGCCGCGCAGGGGCGGGGCGGCTAATTAGAGAGCGAACGCAGTTACAGGGGTCCTGGCGTTTGTTGCAGCGCACGCGCCGCGCAACTCGCGGCCTCTGGAAGAACGGCCGGCGTTCGATGATGACCTCGCTCCGCTCGGACAGTGTCGAGGCCCCCCGGGGCAGGTGCGCCATCGGGGACCTCGGCGCCGGACTCGGCCAGCGCGGCCGCGGGGGCGCGCCGGGCTACGAGGCTTCGCGCGCAGCCCCAGCGCCCAGCAGAGACACTTTACTGGAGCTCTGTTCCAGCCGCGCGCGCGCCGTAGCCAACGCGATCTTCCAGCGCGCGCAGGAGAGTCAGGTGACGCATTATGAGCCTGGAGCTACGCCGGCTTCTCCCGTCACCCCAGCCAGTGAATTCTGCAATGCTCGATTTCGTTCTAGCTCCAGCAGTGCTCTTGGATGGTGCCCTTGCGCTGCGAAGCGACCGGTTTGCTGCCGCATCGCTGCGCCATTTTCCGATCTCGGCCACGGTCAGAGCCCAGCCGCGCGGCATGGACAGACCAGCGCGCCGACCAAGGTGGGATCGGCAGGCCTCGCGACGCCAACGCCAGGCCATGTTTCTGTCGCGCAACGCACGTTGTCGCTTATGGGTGGATAAGAGATTGCCCACGCGGCGTTTGGCCGCCCTTGCGCGAGATCGTTCGTCTGCCCTCCAGGGGGCAGCTCCGGCGCTGGAGCTGGCACGCAGACCGCCCTGCCTTGCCTTGCCTTGCCTTGCGACGCCAGCGCGCGAAGATTGCTTTCTTGTTCGGCGCCAGGCAATTCCGAAGGCGTCTCGAGCGAGCAGCCGGCCAGCGCCCGGGGGCTTCGACGTCGAGGCATCTCAAAGCCAAAGAGGATTGCATGTCGACGGAGGCGCGAACCCAGCGCAAACCTCGGATGAGCGGAGGCACTCTCGGCACGATCGAGCAACGGTGTCTTGCGCGACATCGCGGGGACATCAGTCGAGAGAGATGGTTGCCCCGGGAGATCACACGCGCCGCCCGCAACAATCGGGCAACTTGGGTTCGGGGAATTGCTGCCGGAGGCGACCAGGGATCGGCGCAGAGACCCCGTCGGGGAAAAAAGGTTTCACGGGCGCGGCTGAAAGCCGCGGGCGGCGAGATCGTCGACGCAAAAGACCAAGCGGGGACGTTCGCGCAGTTCTTGGAGACCGCGCAGCGGAAAGTCCGGCCAGCAGCGGTGCCCCCCGACAGAGACACCTGAAACCATCCGCCACCACCCGTCGACGAGTCCATGTTCGCCCACGCGGGGCACCGCGAGGCCATTGCGAAGATGGCCAGCGGCAGAAGTGCGGTTGATGGTGACGCACCAATCGAAGTCTTCAAGACTCGCACATTTGGCCGGGACAGACCTGGATGTGATGATGGGGGATCTTGGAGGTTATAAGCCAGTGGCCCCAGAAGAGTTGATGATAGCTCGCGCGGCAATGATTTACAGGGAATACGACCCTGGTTGCATGGGCCATTACCGCCCGATTTGTTCTACTTCCAAGGCATACCGTATATTTGCGAGCATGATCAACAAACGTTTTCTGGGGGCAGGCCACGACCGCCGTCTCTGGCCGACCCGGCTCGGAGCCCGGGCGGAGAGGAACGCGGAGGATGTAATCTATATATACACAACTATATATATATATGTCTTCATATGTATGGATATACATATATGTATATATACACATATATTTACATATGTATATATATGCATATAGAATAATTTTATACGCTTCTATACACAGTTACATACATACAAATTCACACACACATGTCTAGTGATGTACACATGCGACTCCACATCTGTGTATAAATGCATTTACACGCACCTATGTATATATATGCATATATATATATATATATATATATATATATATATGCATATATACAAACATCCATACACATGCACGTATGAATGCCCCTGCTATAGGAGCTTTCCAATACCAGCGTGATCTGGCACTTACCGCGATCTTTTTTGCTTCTTCCCCCTTTTCGCTCTCGCAGCCGCTGGCTTCAGCCCGCGCTGCGGCTTCTTTTTTATGCGGGGCGCCCCCCCCCCGCCCAAATCCCAATTCCGATGATTGTGATCGGCGGCATTTTGGCGGCGGCGACCGCCTGGTTTGACCTCGCCCGCCCCGCGAGCTGGCCCGGGGCGTCGGCCGCTCTGCCCGCCCAGCGGCGCGCGCAGGGGCGGGCGTCGACCCAGGCGACTGCGCCCCTGAGGCGCCAGACCGGCGCCCAGGAGGGCTCGGCGCGGCCCCGTCGCCGAGGAAGGGGAAGCCCACGCCTGGGCCCCAAACCGGGAGACATGGCAAGGGCAGGGGCCAAACCATTCTGGGGGCTGAGGAGCCCTGCCGCTGGGCGGGGCGACCTGCAGCGAGCGCCGCGGCAGGCCAGCCCCCCTGCTGGGGGCGCCCCCCCTGGCCCCACTCCAAGGGGGGGCCGGGCAAGAGGGCCGCCGGCCCCCCCGGAGAGGAAGGGGCAGATGCCTAGGCCTTCGGCGGGGCGCTGGGCCCCCCTGCACCGGCGCACAATGCCCCTGCGGCCCCCGCCCCCGCCCCAAGGAGCGGAGAGGGCGGCGTCGACCCAAGCGCCAGGGGAAGCCCGAGCGGGGCTCCTGAATTTTTGACGCCGGCCCCCGAAGGCGCCCCTTCGGGGGAGGACGGCGGCGCGGGCCGATGCGCTGGCTTGCCGGCCCCCGGGCCGGCCTCGCCCAACCCCCGCGGCGCTGGGCCCCCGCCGGGGCCAGAGCCCGGGCGGTCCTGGCGCGGCAAGCTCGACGACTTAATTGAGAATGCGCGCCGGGGCAACCCTCGGCCAGGGCGCGCACCCTGGGGAGGGCGACCCGGAAAGAGGGAGCGCGGAGCACGCCGTCGACCCGAGGCGGGGGCGGAGTTCGGCACTCGCGCCAGCTGAGGTCGGTTTTCCTGGAGGCGCGGGAAGCAAGACAGCCTGGTCTTCTGGGCGTGGCTCTGCCTCCTCCTCGGGACGCTGGATTGGCTCGCGCACCTGTCCTTCGGAAACTCCTGGGTCGTCGCGGAGATCTACGTGGCCCGCGTCACCGCGGCGTTCGCCTTCCTCGCGCTTGCCCCCCCTAGCGGCTGCTCCTGGATCGAATCCTCCGCCCCCTCTGCGGCTTTTGCGGTCGGATGCGGCGGGGCCCTCGCGCGCGGGAACGGTTCGCCGGCGGGGAACGAGCGGGCATGTTCGATGGAGCTGGACTGGCGGGGCCCCGAGGGGCGCCCAGTCGACGACGGCTTTTACTGGGTGTCATCCGCGCCCGGGGCGACCAACCCCCTTGGTCGCCAAATCAACTGGTAGCAGAGTTTGAGGGGGGACGGGTTCGCCCGGGCGGGGGGCCGCGCGGGGCGCCAGTGCAGCGTGCGAGGCGCCGCGGGCGGGACTTCCCCTATGCGAAGGTCATCGGTTGCACCAGCCTCGACGGGCCCGCCTGGGGAGGGCCGCGGCCTGGGTGGTCTGTCGAGACGGGGGCGCCTGCAGAAGCACCCAGCCCGCCGACTGCGTCGGCAGGTGCACGGGAGCGCCCGCCAAGGCAGTCTGAGTCCTACACCTGGCGGAGCACCGCGCCGCGGGGAAGCCCCTCCCGGGTCTCCGCGCCCGGGCGCGGAGCACGGAGCGCGTTGGGCGAGGCTGGACAGCTGGCGCCGCCGCTGCCGCGAGCGGGGCCCGCGCAAGCATAATAGGGGCCCAGTCGGGGCCCCTGGCAGACTCCGACGGCGACGACGATGAAGAGGACTGGGCCCCATGCGCGGCGGCGGCCGTCGCCCGGCCGCGCGCGCAGGCTCGGTTCGTTGCTTGCGCCGGGTGACGCGCCAAGACAAGCGCACGGCAGATCCCGCCCCTCTCCTCACCTAGGACGCCCTCAACTCGGACGCGCGGGGGCGGTCGCGCAGCGCGGGCGGAGCGAAGCTGGCGCACCTCCGCCGCTACCACGACTCCATTTACTGAGCGCCCCGATGCAAATTTCGGCGCGGGGAGCCCGGCGGGGAAACCTTCGGGCGGCGGGGGGGGCGTCGGTGCGCCACGCTCGCGGCGAGGGGAGCTGGGGGACCCCTGGGCGCGCAGCCGCCCGGAGCGAGGAGATCAGCTCGGCCGAGCTGGCGCCCAAGGAGCCCCCGCAGGCCCTGGCACCCCCCCGCCTTTCCCCTCGGGCTCGAGGACCCGCCCGACGCGGCGGCGGGGAAGAGAAGGAATTGTCATGGGGCACCCCACCCGCGCCCGCCAGGGCGAGGCCCGGGAAGGGCCCCCCCCCGGTCCGAGCGGGCTTGGCGACGCGGGAACAAGTGCCCCGGGGGCCCTTGCGCCGAGGCCCCCGGGCCCCCCGCCCCGCCCAAGGGGCTGGAGACATAGAGGGGCAGAAGCACTGGGTCCGCGTCTACGAACCTGGAGGGGGGTCCGAGGGGAACCGTTCCCGCGCTGTCTTTCGAGGAGAGGGTCGAGAGGGAGAGGGCGACGCCGTCGCCGAGCCCCGAGCCGGCATCTGGATCCGAACTCAGCTTATCCATCCCCATATCGCATCCCTGCGCCCCTGGAACCTTGAGGAAGGGGGGGGGGCTCGCCAAAGCGCGCCCCCCGGCGGACGCAGTCGAGGCGAGCCCCCAGACCCACCTCCAGCTCAGGGTAGCCACCTGGTCGGAGGGAGGCACCCTCCTGCCCGGGGATCAATGGCGCCTCGCCGAGGAGCATCCATGGAACCCAAGCCAGCGCCCGCGCGCCCGGAGGGCGGGGGCGGGGCAGCGGGCGGGGGGGGGCCCGCACATGGAGCCCTCCACCCGCTCCGTTCCTGGAACCCGCGCGCAGCGGAAGGGCGTGCCGGGCAGCCTCTCAGCAATGGCGCCCTTTGTGCTGGAAGGCGCCCGGGCCCGGGAGGGCGCTCGCGCCGGCGGCGCGCCGCAGGAGGTTGAGCCCAGGGCCGAGCTGGACCTCTTGGCGCGAAACCAGGCGGAGCCCCCCGGATAGCGCCTGGACCGCGTCGCCGGGCATCCGCGGCAAGCATGCCGAGCGGCGGATCCAGGGCCGGGCCACGCGGTGCCTGGGCCGGGATGAACTCACCCCCTCAGTCTGCCCACGCCTGGAGGTGGCCCTGAAAGATCTGCGCCCCACCAGGGGGGGAGGGGGCGAGGTCTGGCGGGGCCCCCGCAGCCCCGCGCGGGCCGACCAGGCGGAGCTCGTGGGAGCGAGGAGGCGCTTCCATTTCTTTTCATGGAGGGCTGAGCCGCCTGCTGTTGATTCCTGAGATAGGGGGGGGGGGTAAACGACCTCTCTGGGCGACGGGGGGGGGGGC